CGCCGTCGCCGCTGAGCAGCGCGAGCCACGCCTCCGAGACGTACCGGAAGTTGAGGTTGATCGAGGTGAGGTTGGGCATGGCGGCGCACGCGTCCGCGATGAGGCGCGCGTCCTCGCACGGGAGGCCGGACACCTTGAGCGCGGCGAGCCCGTGCAGGAGCGGCTTGCCCGTCGCGGGCGAGGGGCCCGCGAGCGCGCGCAGGACGGCGCCGCAGTCCGCGTCCTCGAAGTCGACCGCGAGCGAGGTGACGTGCGGCGCGGCGAGGCGCTCGAGCAGCGCGATGGCGTACGCGGGCTCGAGGAACGCCAGCACGAGGCCGTGCAGCGACGCCAGCGCGAGCGTCGTGGAGGCCGTGGGCGACGACGACGCCGTGTCCTCCGCCGCCTGGTCGCGCGCGAGGTCGTCCGGGTGCCGGTCGAGGACGCTCGCGAGCCAGTCGACGGGCCCGCCGGCGGGGCCGGACTGGCAGAGCGTGAGGGTGTCGAGCTGCGGGGAGGCGTGGACGATGCGCGCAAAGTCCTTGAAGCTCGGGCGGACGTCCTTGGAGTGGTACGCGAGCTCAAAGTCGAACAGCCCGCTGAGGAAGTGGGAGCGGGCCCAGTCGACGTGCACGCCCCAGAGCGCGACGCTGACCAGCTTGGGCGCGTTTCCGTTGAAGAGGACGAACTGCTGGTCCTTCCAGACGGCCGGCACGAACGCCTCCGCCTCGTCCGTGTCGTCGTAGTGGTAGAGCTGCAGCACCTCGAGCATGGGCGCGGCGGGGCAGGTGCCCAGGCCGACCAGCGCGGTCTGCATGAGTTCGTAATCCGAGACGGAAAACTCGAGTGAGTGCCAGTGAGACACATGGGGCAGGATCAGAGCGAGGATGAGCCGGAGGTCTTCTTTGAGGTCGGGCAGCAGCGATCCGCCGTCCCCGTCCTCGTCTTCGTCCTCGTCAAACTCATCCCGGGTCATGTCCAGGGAGATGTCCAGCGGTGCTTGCTTTGCGCGCTCCAGATACTCTTTGGTCCGGTCGAACGGCCTGCCCTCCGAAAAGTCCAGCCGGGTCCACAACCCGGGGGTGTTCACGGCGACATCGCGCCACAGCTGGCAGACGTGCGAGACGAGGACCTCAAAGTCCGGTCCGTCGTCCTCGTCGTCCTCGTCATCTTCTTCATCGCTGTCGTCGTCGCTGTCGTCGTCTTCGTCGTCTTCGTCTTCATCTTCGTCGCCGAGATCGGTCGACCCGATCAGGAAGATATGGGCCAGCAGCTCAGTAGGGAGCTCATTTATGCGACATCGACCGCTTTGGGGGGCAACATAGGGGTTTTGTGAGAGGCTGTCGCGGGTTGGAATGCCTATGAACGCTTCATCCTGTTCTCCCTGTGCCATTAGCAACCTCAGGTAAACTGGTCATGCAGGGTAGCCGTGAGTGCCTCTGCGGGCAGACAAGTCCAATATTGCACTCACCTGAACGGAGTGTATCTGTGCGAAGCCAACTCGCTTTGTCCTTTAATTTGATTTGAAAACCGCGAGGCATCCGGGAGGAAAATAGTGATCTCGATCGCTTGAAGCGGTCGGTCACGTGAGTCATAGACGGCCTCGAATGTGGCGCGAATGTGGCGGCAGTGCTTTGGGACCATATCATCCTCGAGGACGAGGACTCGAGAATTTAAAACCCCTCACGGCTCACATCATGTCCCCTCGTCTTTTTGTCCCATTTGCATCTCGCACCCGGACGAAGAACCTATCTTCTCAGAGTTTGTCGTACAAACACAATGGACTTGATAGACTTGTCTCAACTCGAAGTACGTCCTAAGTGCCTTGTCGCTCCCAGTGATGATTTCCAATGCCACGCACAGATCCCATACAGTAACGAGTACCCTCTCTATGACCTATTTGGCACCAAATATGACCCCTTCATCGAACCTCCTCAACTCCCAACGGAGCTTCTGGTCCACATATTCCTCCTGTGCAAAGACAACGACGGGGAATCCGTGATCAAGAGCGCGGGCTACAGCTCAGCCTGGACGCCAGATCGCGTCGAGGTCCGCATCTCCCACGTCTGCCGGCGGTGGCGCTCCATTGCGCTGGACATCCCCGCTCTCTGGACCGAAATCTATTTCCTAAAGGCCGATCCATGGGACATGGTCGACGCGTATCTCGCGCGGTCGAAAAACACGACGATCGACGTGTCCATCGACTTCGATGCCATTAAGCGTCACCAGCGGTGGCACCGCGGACTCAAGTGGTCCAAACGTGCGTACCTCAGATGTCTCCGCGCATTGCTCGACCGAATCGGGCTGCATCGAAAGCGATGGCGGTCCTTCCGGTTTACAACCTCAAATCTCAAGTACTTCGTTTCTTTCTGCGAGCACTTTCGTGGCGCAGGGGGCGCAGAGTTCAGACATGCATTTTACCGAGGACCTAATCATGCCAGTTCTTTGACTTATACAGATTCTGGTATTAAGGAGGTGCTGCTCCAAGATGTACAAATGAACTGGACTCATGATATCAGCATGTTTCGCGATCTCGTCCAATTGTCTCTCGCCGACCTCTCAAGCGTGACCTGTCCTACTTTCAGAGAGCTGGCCGACACGCTCAAGACCTCTGCCCGACTGCAGACGCTCGAATTGGTCAACACAGGACCGCTAGGCGACCCCAGATACTTGCCGGATCTCCCAGAGCACTTTCCTTACGCCCCCGATAGCCACCAAGGTTCTGAGGCGCTGCTGGTCTCGCACAGCCTGCAGGAGCTGACACTGGCCTCCTCGAAGCCGCAGTTCCTATCGCAGCTATTTCACCACGCGGTGTTTCCCAACCTCAAGAAACTCTCGATCTGGCTCACTGGCGACTGCACGGACATCATCCTCGCCCTCTCGCAGCTTTCGTACATCGTCGACGAGCCGCTGGTCGCGGGGCTGACTCACCTCCAGCTCGGCCGCATGCGTGGAGGCAACGCCGCAGACATCGGAGATCTCTGCGAGACCATGCCGAACGTGACGACGCTCACGCTGGACTTCCACGGCGTGTGCAGGTGGTGGTACTACTTCCTCGTGGCGGGCGGCGACCCCCGGACTCTGCGGTGCGTGCACACTCTGGACGTCACTGGCCTCACCGCGCCGGAGGTGCGCTATCTGGTCGCCTCCCGCAACGCCTGGGGCATGCCGCGCCTCGACCTTACCGTGCACTCGCCTGCCGACATGGAGACTGACGACGTGCGGTGGCTGCGCAAACACACAGACAACTTCACGTTCGTCCAGACGATGGACGTGGACAACTTCGGTGAGTGCTGCCTTCCGGCGCCGGGTCCCAGGCCCGCCCCTGACCATGCTACTGCAACCAGGAATGAGTGCGATGCGCCGGAAAATGAAGGAGCTCCGGCGGCGGTAGGCCACAGTATGCTCTCTATCTGCGCCACAACGGCTCTCCATGTATGCTCCATGCTTATGATAAAAATGACCGTATGCGATTCTCCGGCCACGACTTTGAGCTGATCTACACAACTACGACTATTGATGAGAGAGACAACGCTCCAGTTACCCGCCGGCGCAGAGACGCAGCAGGCGTTATATGATGCAGCGATAAGATGGAATGCGAGATGTGCGTATTACAAAAACATGATGCGGCGCGACAGACGCTACAACGGGCGAAACAACTGCAGAGTGTACCGAGCGAGTCCTTGCACGGCGGCAAATCGGGGAATAGGTGAGGTGCGGAGATGCGAGACGCTGTGCGGGTCAGAGTCCTGGGGTGGCGGCCCAGCCCGGGCAGGGCAGCTGCGCCACGCCCAGCACGATGTCCGGCACGCCCTCGTCGTCGTCGTCGTCCTCCGCCGAGTCGTCCGCGAAGAGCTTCCTCTCCTTGCCCTTTGTCGACCCGGGGAAGGCGGTGGGCGCGATGTGGGGCCGATGCGGGTTGGGCATTGCGATCACGACGGCGACCTGCACGCCCGCCGCGTCCGCGGGCGAGTCGGGCGTTGCGGCCGGATCGGTGCCCGTCGGCTGGGCAGAGGCGGGGGCCGCGGATGGCGGGAGGAGGGGGGATGCACTCGCCGTGCGCCTGCGCGAGAAGGGCCTGCGGAGCATGGCGAGACGGGTCCGGGGCGGCGGGGGCTGGTAGGCGGGCGGTGGGGGGGAGCTGGACGGGCGCGGGGC